GAGAGAGAGACAGAGAGACAGAGACAGAGAAGACAGAGTATGTATGTGAGACAGAGAAGACAGTGTGTGTGTGTGTGTGTGTGTGTGAGAAAGAGAGAGAGAGAGAGACAGAGACAGAGACAGAGTGTGTGTGAAAGAGAGTCTCTGTGTGTGTGTGTGAAAGAGAGAAAGAGAGAGAGAGAGACAGAGAGACAGAGACAGAGAAGACAGAGTATGTATGTGAGACAGAGAAGACAGTGTGTGTGTGTGTGTGTGTGTGTGAAAGAGAGAGAGAGAGGAGACAGTGTGTGTGTGTGTGAGAGAGACAGAGAGACAGAGAGAGAGACAGAGACAGAGAGACAGTGTGTGTGTGAGAGAGAGAGACAGAGAGAGAGAGACAGTGTGTGTGTGAGAGAGAGAGACAGAGAGACAGAGAGAGACAGAGTGTGTGTGTGTGAGAGAGAGAATGTGTGTGTGTGTGTAAGGGGGGAGACAGTGTGTGTGAGTGAGAGAGAGAATATGTTTGTGTGTATGTGTGTGTATTGTATGTATGCAGTACGTACACTGCAAGTGTGTGCATATTCATGTATACAAGTGTGTTTACACTTAATCATAGGTTCATACTGATGCCATTAGTCTCAATCGAATGCCAGATACTTTTTCGCTGCCTCTTCCTTATCTCCTTCCGCCCTTCCTTTCTAACCTAAAACATGCTATGCAGCCAAGGGTGATCTAGAGCTTCCGACCCTCTGTTCTACCTCTTAAGTGCTAGGATCACAGACATGTGCCACCACACCTGATTATAGAGTGCTAGGGCTCTGGCATGCTAGGCAAGCACTCTACCAACTGAACTCCATACCCAGCCCTTATTTCTTATTTTCTGTCTCTCAGAGTAAAAAGTCTAGCTCCTAAAATATTCTAAAGTATCATTGTCTTTGTTACTGTTCTATTGCCATGAAGAGACACCATGACCAAGGCAACTCTTACAAAAGAAAGCATTCAATTAGGAGCTTGCTTACAGTTTAAGGGTCAGTCCATGGTTATCATGGTTGGAAACAGAGAGGCATGGTGCTGGAGCAGTAGCTGAGAGCTTTACATCCTGACCAGCAGGAAGGAAGGAGGGAGGGAAGGAAGGAGGGAGAGAGGGAGGGAGGGAGGGAGGGAGGTGACAGACAGTGGGCCTGGCATGGGCTTTTGAAACCTCAAAGCCTACTCCCAACACCTCCTCCAACAAGGCCACACCTCCTTCAACAAGGCCACACCTCCTAATCCTTCCCCAACAGTTCTACCAACCGGGGCCCAGGCACTGAGACACATGAGCCTATGGTGGCCTTTCTCATTCACACCACCACCGTCATCTTCTTACTGTGACTGTACACACACTACACACATGATGGCTTCAGGACGGCTGTACTGCTGCCATACTAGTAAGAGCTACCTGCAGAGTTCAAGCTTTCCTTCCCCAGTGGTTGGTCCTGTGTTCAAATCCTACCTGGATTAAACGTTTTCCTTCTGATGTTAGGTTATTCATTGTGCGTACTCAGTTATGGAATCTAAAAAAGAAAAGAAACATATCCTAAAGCTGCCCCCCCCCCCCCGCCCGCTTGTTTATGTGTATATGTTCATGTCTGTGTATGGGTATGCAAACGTGTGTCTGGAGCCTGAGGAGCCTGAAGGTGTTGTAGCTCCTGGAACTGGAGTTATGGATGGTTATGAACCACCACGTGGGTGCTGGGAGTCAAATCCAGGTCCTCTGCAAGAGCCCCTCCCCACGGCCATTAACTCATTATGGGGTGAACATAAACAAGACTATCACGTTTGTTTCTGTAAAGGGAAACACTTAGGAAAGGTGTGTTCGGAGCAGTGCCAATCTCCTGCCCATCCAGGCTACTCAGTTCTTACCCCCCTCCAAGGGAGCTGTCTGCCTTGCATTTATTTTTGTTTTCTCCAAAAAGGTCAGTCTCAGGGCCAATGAGATAACTCAGCAGGGAAAATAACTTGTTAACAAGCCTGAAGGTCAGAGTTCAAACCCCAGGACCAAAGGGAATGACTCCTGCAAGTTGTCCTGTGACAGGCACAGGCGTGTGTTCACTTGCTTACATGTATGCACATCTATGTGAGTGAACACATGCACACACACATGCGTGTGCACGCACACACGCACACAGAGTAATAAAAGGGTTTTTGTTTGTTTGTTTGTATTTGTTTATTTGTTTTTTGACAAAACGATCTCACTTTGCTTATCTGTTGCTAAAACACTTCCCCCAGTAACCACAGGAGGAAAGGGTTTATTTGACTACACTTCCAGGTCACAGTCCATAGCTGAGGGAAGTCAGGGCAAGAGCTCAGGCTGGAACTGAAGCAGAAACCCCAGAGACTGGCAGCTTGCTCCTGTGACCACTTCAGCTACCTTTCTTACATAGCACAGGCTCATTTGCCTATGGATGGTGCCCACAGTGGGCGGGCAGATTCCAGAGCCACCTGAAGCAATTAGCGTCACCAATTAGCAATCAAGAAAATGTCCCGCAGACACGCCCAAAGGCCAAACTGGTGAGGAAAATTCTTTCGGTTCCTCTACCCAGGTTCCACCAGTTGACAAAGAAGATTACTCTTTCTCAATGAAGAGCAAAATAAGACTGCAGTGCCTGGAGAGACTGTTCTTTCTTAAGAGAGCACACTGCTCTCTGAGACACAGACACAGTGCCGCTCCCAACACCCAGTGGCTCACAAAGGCTTGTAATAATTCTACCTCCAGGGGTATCTGAAGCTTCAGACCCACTAGGTCCTGGCACTCAAGTGACCAGAAACACATGTAATTTAAAATGATTTAAAAAATACTTTTAAAAAGAAATAGGTCAGTAAGTAAGGTAGGACAGAACATCGAGGGGGGAAAATGTGTTTTAAGTAGATGCAACAGAACATAACAGACTAAGGGACCAACAGAAACTGGACACATAGAAGCTTCAGGGAAACAGGATGGTGGCAAGGAAGACAGCTATGAGAACGGCTCCTGGCTTACTGCATAAGGGACAGCAACCAACTCCCACCTTAGGAAGCAGGCTGCCATCCAGTTTTGATGTTGGGAGACAAGGCTTGCTAAGTAGCCCAGAAAGATCCCCTCTTACCACCCTCCTGCCTCAGCTGCCATAGCGGGGGATTACAGGGGAGCCCCACAAAGCCTGGAGTTGCTTTCTATCCTGTTTCCACCTTCCCAAAGTTGTTACAGTTGTTTCTCCTAGCCCAAGTTAAAACAGGCATTAGTTTGAAAGGGCAGTTAAGTCAACACTAGGTTTTAAATGCCAACAGAGTAACTTTGCCCTAGGAAGGTGGACACGGATCCAGGGATGCCAGGGAGGAAATGGCTGATGGTTGGCTGTACAAAGTCACACTGCTAAGTGGTACCAATCACACCAGAAAACCAGCACAGGTTTCTGACATGTCTAGGAAATTTATGTATACATTAATGAATAGCTGAAAATCGCTCCTTGAGCCTAGAACTAAATGAATGCATTCTAGAGAGAAAAGCAGGCGCTCTATGGACAGAGGGCTCTTGCCCTGAATCCAACCAGAGTTAAGATTTCAGCGAGTTATTGAACATCTCCTTGCCTGTGGAAGGTGCAATGCGTCCTTTGAGAAGTGACTGAGAGATGACAGAATAGCACAGTTCACTGCCCCTGGACCAGGACAGAGCTTTGGGGAATAATTCCATCAATAAACCAGATTAAACTAGTCAGCGAGGTAAAGAAACTAATAACCAAGTCACCCAACTGAAATAACATGCCTGAAAGAAAACAGGGAATTCATCCAATCTCCAGCATTTTGTCGTAATGGCATAAAAATCTCCAATACTCGGCTTCCATTCTCAGTTTTGAAAGTGTCCCAGGATCTATTTTTAAAGTGTAAAAATATACACTGATATGCTTATTCATAAAAGACCAACAACTCAAAATTGCTTCCTGTCTAATGATCACAGGCTTAAGGCACGCCGTCAAGCGAAGCACAACACACAGGATCAACGTCTAAGAACCTGCAGACGCAAGGGGATCTGGCAATATTCACTAAATGACATTTTTTAAGTTTTTATTTCGGTTTCAACAAACCCAAATGCAAAATGAAAACCCCTTAAATGCTCTTAATCAAAATATTAAAATATAACAGTAAACTTTCAGAGACAGCAACGAACACTGGCAGAGACCAAATGTTATACAGTTTGCTCCACCCCTGCAAGAGACCTTCCTTCAGGAGCATGTGTCAGGCATCATATCCAGATAAACTGGAAAATACAAAAGGTCACTGTCTCACTTCGCGATACTGAAAGGGCCTAATAAATTTCAAAGTCTTAAGACAACTCCCTGGTAGGGTGCAGGTCCACACCAGGCTACATTTCTGCCCTTTATGGAAAGAGGGAAAGAGAGAGGAGCAGAGAAAACAAAATCGCCCAGCACTGCTACGAAGCCGTCTCTCAACTTTGAAAATGCAGTCTTTCCTTAGTGGAGAGCCATACACGCATGCCACACACAGTACACGGCAATCATTTGTGTTCTGAAGCAGAAGGAGACGCTGGGAGAAGACAAGGAAATGCTTTTTCCTGTTCTAAACTTGCAAATATCCAAAATCCGTTATCGTTCCTCCCCCCTTTAAAAATAACTAAGCCGAGAGCATCGTATCGGTCCAAAAAAAAAAGCCCCCCCCAAGACAAAACAACACCCAACAAGGCTCCAGCAGCCCGTGGAGAACTTGGGGGGCTCTGCGCCCAGCTGCCATCACCGTCTGAGCTCCCCGGGCGGCCGCACCCTCGAGCTGTCCCGGGCCTCGTCGAGCGCCTAGGAGCCCGCGTCTACACGGAGACCCGCAACGCGCAGCCCGCGTCCACACGGTAGTCTACCTACCTGGAGCCGGGCCGCCACCACCGAGCTGCTGCTGGGTGTTCGGCTGCGGGAGGCGAACCGTGAGCAGGCTCCGCCACACGAGACGGCGGCCACACCCAGAGCCCTGCACGCCGGACGGGGCGGGGACCGGGGCGCGGCGCGCGGGGCGGGGGCGGGGGCGCGCGAGGCCGGGGAAAGGGTCTGGGAACGCGCCGAGGCTGCAGCGCGCGGGGCTTGGGTGGGAGCTGGCGGGAGCGAGCGCGGTCGGGGCGGGCGGGGGCGCTCGAGGGGATCGTAGAACCCAGAGCGCGATTGGCCTGGGTGGAGGCTGCTTGGTGCGCGCAGGACCAGGGGTGCCTGTGGCTTAGTGGGGAGGGTCTGGTGGGGGCGCGCGTGGCCTGGGCTGGGGTGCACCGGGTGGGCGCGGGCACGGCGTGCTGCTTCTGCTGGGTTTGCCAAGCGGAAAGCGCATCCCAGGCAGTTTCGATTTATCTGTGTGCCTCTGGACGCGCCGTCTAAAGAATGTGCTGGATTTCTTCGCGGCGGGGCCTGGCCAGGAGTGCTCTGCTCGGGCGGGCTGCAGGCTTGAGCCAGGAGAGCCACAGATGCCTTCTGCGCTTATAGAGCACTGAAATCCGAAATCAGCCCAGCCTAGCCGCCCGACTTACCCGTCGGTGAAGGCCCGAGGTTCACTGGGAACATAAAGCTAGTGGTACCGCCCCCCCCCCCCAAAGGTGCTGAAAACATTTATGAACAAACCAGTGCTCATAGCTCTTGGAAGTTAGTCTGTGTTGTCACTGATGCCTGGAAGGCCTTCCGCAGCACCCTTAAACACCATGTGTACCTCAAGCGACTTTGTTCACATTTCTCTGGGTGTTTAATACTGAAAATGTCATAAAATAAATGTCTCCTAGCAATTTGCTGCTTCTGCAGGGGTATTGCTCCTGCCCCCACCCCCATCTTTCTTTGGAGTTAATTCCACTTTGACAGACGGTTGCTATAGCATTCCCTCTCTGACGTCAAACAATTTAAAGAAACAGCACAGGGTAACAGGACTGCAGCACCGGAGAAGGGTTTGAAGATTATCTGGAGAGCTTTGACAGCCCACAGCCTTCCATTCCCTCCTTGTCAGCTGCTCCCTAAAATCACCTGGAATACTATCTACTCACACCTGCAGACAAGGAGGCCAAACTCGGCGCCCTGCGTGGGACTGGGAAGAAAAAGCGGCCTGTGTGTAAAAGCCACACCACCACAGATGTGGAAAAGGGAGGTACCAGGATGATGAAATGCTTGCTCCCTCCCCCCTCCCCGCAAAGTTTTGCTTTCCCTAACCCTTGGTGCTTTTTCTCCTTTAAGAAGAAAATGAAGAAGTGCCAGACCTACATATCAAAACGTCAGGAAGGGGTGGTTGCAGCCTGAGTAGTCTAGTCTCTGATGGTGTGTTTTAGTAATAAATCCTAAACTATATCGTTGGAAGAAAAGGGAAGCTGGTACTTAGGGAGTGCCTATATGTCTACAGCTCCCACCTCAGCCTGCCTCTTTGTATTTTATCCCTGTTTCACAGATAAGCAAACCGAGGCCCCTAAAGATTCAGTATGTTACGTGGAGTCCTGCTGGATGTGGCACCTGACTAGAACAACGCCAAAAAGCCTGTTTTCCTTTCTTGTCATTGGTTCTTTCCTAAGCCTGCGCACTAGCACTTACCAGAGTGTAGGATTCTGTGAAGGGTTTTACTGTATGTTGAAAAACAAACATCTGGGGAAACTTAGTGGAAAGCACTGGGGTGTTGATTGTGTTCTAGAGAATAGAGGGAAACAGACATCAACAGCTCCAGAACACAAGCTACAAAGCCTGAAAAAAAATTTAATGGTCTTTGGTGATTTGTGAAAGTTTGATGTTGGACAGAAACCTTGTCAAATAGTTCGAGTACTAAAAAGAAATATTTATCGTCTGAATAAACCCACCCCTTACTATATTTCTGTTTTGTGACACTTGGTGCTTAGTTTTCTGAAAAGAATGCTTACCTTTAAGGCAAAGCCTATACTGTACTTGAGAAGGTAGAGTCCGTGAGATTTTCATCACCACGAGCAGTGTGTGGATGCGCTCACACCCACAGCTCCTGATGCTTCCGTAGATGAGGAAACCCATGTGTGTGGTGGGGGTTGGGGGGTGACGGAGTAAAGAAAGAGGGAAGGAAGAGAGAGACTCAGAGATACAGAGATGTGGGGGAGGGGCAGAGAAGAGAGAGCGGGAAGGGAGACAGACAGACCCAGAGACATCCCTGTAGGGAGGGAGGAGAGAGACACACACAGACAGATAAAGAGGGCAAGGGCAAGAGACAGAAACAGAGAGCAGGCACTGAGACACAGAAACACACACACACACACACACACACACAGCTCATTGCTGGTGCTACTGGCTGTGTAGAAGATTGGCTGTCAGAATTGAGCCTGGTGGTCCTCTGAGGTGCCACAGTGACATTTAGATCACTGACTCACTACCGCACTAGGTCCATCCATATTCTCAAACCCTACACTATTAGCAGAACATAAGGAGCCCCTCAGAGACCGTGCCTTTTACCCTCATCTCAGGGCCTCATTCAGCAGGAGAGCATCTGGGCGGTACCGGAAGGACAACGAAACAAATGAACTCATGGTTGCTTGTTTTGGTTTTCATTCCTATTCAGAAACCTTTGAATTCAGCTCAGAGAAAAGGAACTGGGAATTTAGTGACAGTTATTTACAGAGATTTGTGTCCCCTTGGTCAAGCTCAGAGACTTTCCATTCTTGATCTGTGATTATGTGAATTTGAATTTGAAATGTGAGTGGGCCCTCATGTTTACAGTGCCACAGATTTGTAATCATACTCTAAAGACGCTCAACTTTTTTGTTACATAGCTAAGTGTGCTATGAATAATAGAACCAACAGAGTGGATGATTTTAATACTGAATGCCCCCCCACACCCAGAGTTGAATGGTTTAGAATTTTATGAGGTCAAATTATGTACAGCACCCACATCACATGGTTCATATACACCAGTATCTTCAGCTCCGGGTTATCCAGTAGCATCCACACGTGTGTATACACATAAACACAATTTAAAAGATAGAACGGATTAAGTCTCTGGAAGAAATTGTATCACAGGACCTTAAGACTCCTCAAGCAAATAGAAGTGTGACTCCTTAGATTCTGTCAGAAGGGAGTTTGTGTGTTGTTTCTGCCAGACATTCTCAACAGAGCAATCGTTCTGGAACCATCCCTGTTGCTCAGTCTTCACTTTCCTACCAGCCCTACCATGGTGTATATGCTGAGCTCCCATCAGCAGGGTTCTTTGCTGTACTGGCCCCTCACACACTCCTTCTGTGCAGTACCCGGCCCCTCACACACTCCTGTTGTGCGGTACCGGCCCCTCACACACTCCTGCCGTAGAACCATTTCTCTCAGGCACACAGTAAGAACAGTTTGAAACCCATCTTCCTTAGGCATCTCAGAGAATTTAGGAGAGTGTGCTGCACTGGGCTAATCATGTTCATCCCAGGCACGGGAACGGAGTAGAAGTGTGCAGCCATGTGTTACCGGTCTGTTTCTTGTAGTTACTGTTCCTAGAATCCTGTTGGAAAGGGACTTGGCACAGGGGAAAGGATGCAAACTCCAAATTATGTCAAAGACCCACTACAGGACTCACGTGGTGGGGGTGGGGGTGGGGGTGGCGGTGGAGGTGGGGGTGGCGGTGGCAGCGTGTGTGTGTGTGTGTGTGTGTGTGTGTGTGTGTGTGAGAGAGAGAGAGAGAGAGAGAGAGAGAGAGAGAGAGACAGAGAGAGAGACAGAGAGACAGAGAGACAGAGAGAGAGAGAGAGAGAGAGAGAGAGCTCCCTTGGGTCATATAGTCTGCACTGGTCTACCTTATTATAGAAAATAAGAGTACTGAATTCTAACATAGTTGACAAATACTTCTAACACTGTTGGTCAGTTAAATACTCACTAATTCCCTCACCCTGTCCTGAGAAGACTTTTGAACAGCTTGTTTTAGGAAGTCACTCTACTGGTGAGTAAAAACATCTGATTCATTCTCTCTTGCTCAGGTAAGCAACCCTGAACCAATGGAGTTAAACAAGCAGTGCGTGTGTATGTGCGTGCATGCGTCCATGCGTGCTTGTGCGTGCGTGCGTGCGTGCGTGTGTTGTAGTGGCAGTGTCACACAGCATGCTAGGCACAACAGGAGCCATCTCTTTTGCTCCTAAACACCTTTGCACACGGGGCTTGGTGGCTTGCCAGAAGCATCCTTTATTTACTCTTTGCGCTGTCAGCCACACTGTTAGCCGTGGCTCTCTCACAGGGCTTCCAAATCAGAGCTACCTGTTGGCTGGGCGATCAGCCAGGTCTGTGGGCAACAAACTCAGTTTCTCTTCTCGTGGGCCTTTCCATGAATTGCAAAATCCCCACAGTGGTTGAGTTCCAGGAGCAGGTGTTCCAGAGAACAAGAAGGAAGTTGTCTTGTTGACAGCACGCAGCACAGCTGTGACTCCCCATGTGCTCTGGGTCGGTCGAGTGATAGGAGCCCAGACCTCTTCGTGAAATAGTGACTCATCCCAGGAGAGCTGGAAGGCTAAGTACCCTTACAGACATCTTCAGAAGTACATTCTTCTGGCCCAGGCATAGCCATGCACTCTTCCAATTCCAGCACACTAGAGGCTGAGGCAGAAGGATTGTAAACTTAAGGATATGTGTGTGTGTGTGTGTGTCTCACAAAAACTCAGTGTAGGCTGAACAGTGCTTTAAAATCAACCCTACCAGAGTGCTACCATCAGCAGTAAAAGTGCAAACTACACAGACCTACCCACCAACTCTCAATTTCATAACCTAATGTTTTATTTTTCCTTTCCTTTCTTCCTCATAGGGAAAGCTTTATTTATGATAATATGTTCAGTCATACATTTCAAACAGTAGAAAATGTCTCATCTTTCCTACTCATTTAACAAAGACTAGAGACACCCGAGGAGAGGAAGCCTCGATGAGGAATCTAACAGCTTGGCCGTGGAGATGTCTAGAAGGCAACTGCTTGATTAATGATTGCTGTGGGCATACCCAGCCCACTGTGGGCAGTGCCATGCCTGGGCAAGGTGGTCCTGGGGCAGAGAAGACAACAAAGGAAGGAAGCCATGGGGACTGAAACTGTAAGTAGCTTCCTCCATGGCCTCTGCTTTGGTTCCTGCCCCGAATTCCCTCAACGATAAATTATCACCGAGAAGTTGTAAGATGAAGTAAACTCTTTCCTCCCGAAGTTGGTTTTGGGTCCACATCGTTATAGGGTTTGCCTGGAAGGATTAGGTTTGGATTGGTGTCCTGGTAGGATTTGTCTGGAAGAATTAGGGTCACTCCAGGGTGGATTTTGACTTAGCAGAGCAGCAGGGAGCCAGTTTCTGGTGAACTGAGTGCCCGTTGCTTCACAAAGGGTTTTTTTTTAAAATTGTTGTGCAATTTTTTAATTGTTGTACAATTTATACCTTAGTAAGTCAATTTCTGGACACCCAAACCTCTAATCTGGAGTCACTTGAAGGAACCAAATGCCCAAGCAATTCTCAGTCACGAGAACTCTTGAGTTTCCAAGTCCTCTCATAGCTAAGTTTTGCAGAGGTCTTAGACTCTTCAGGAAGAACCCATATGAAAATCGAACACTTCAAACAAAAGGTATCAGTAACAAA